TTCCTCATTTGATTAACAAACACTAAAGGGTTGTGGTCCGTAAACAGTGACCGGATAGTGTGAGGACCCAACATAAACTTCAAAGTGTTTGAGGGCCATAATCAAAGAGAGCGCCTCCTTCTCAACTGTGGAATAATTAGTCTGATGTTTTAGAAACTTTTTGGAAAAATAACAGACTGGGTGTTCAACTCCATCCAGACTATCTTGGAGTAAAGCAGCACCCGCCCCCGCATCACTCGCATCTACGGCCAACTTGAACGGACGTTCATAATGTGGAGCCGCAAGAACTGGTGCGCTAACTAAAAGATTTTTGATGGAGTCGAAGGAGTGTTGACACTCCACGGCCTTTACTGGCAAAGAATTATTCTAAAAACGACTGGTAAAAGTAAAAACCCTCAGGGAAGAAAATATTGAGAGAGGGATCCAACAGAAATTCGATAGATCCAGGACTCATGCAGGAGAACGAAGCGAGCGTCTCTGGATAGAGTTCAAACTCCCCTGGCCAACACCATGTCATACCCAGGCAAAGAAAATGACACCCGAAGGATCTCCACCCGAAGGAAGGAGAAGGTGTGCTACAAGGAGCCAAACCTAAAGAGTAAACTGACACGTGGAGACAAGTTTACCGACTTAACATTTTTAAGCTCACCCATTTTTGAGGAAAAAACTAAAAAAACGACCAGAAAAAGGGCTTGAGAATTTTAATTTAATTTAATTTAAAATTTTAATAAAGACATTTTAAAATGGTTTAAAAAAAAAAAAAAAAAAAAAAAAAAAACTTCACGCTCTCATACTCCAAGCTTTTCTCGGGAGAAAGAGAGGCGTAGGCCTCTTGAGCCTTCCCAGTGAGTACACACTGTAAAAGTAAGGTCCAAATCTCCTTAGGCCACTTTAATGTTTGGGCCACTCGCTCAAACGAAATAAAATACTTGTCAATGTCTTTTTCAGAAAATGGTGGAATCAAACGGATGCATTTATTAACATCAAAATCATCATTCCTATTGCCAGAGGGGCCGATACTCACGCGCACCGAGTCGCGTCTAGCCTCTAATTCAAGTCTGCGGAGCTCAAATTGACGTTGTTGCTCACGCTCTTTGAATTCCCATTCCCGCTGTTGTGCTTGATCCTTAAGCTCCAACCTGCGCATTTCTAACTGTAACTCCAGTACACGCACATCGTGGTCAGGGTTTAGCTCAACGCTGGGAAAAACCTCAGCGCTGGGAGCAGGATCCAAGGGAGGGAGAATCCCCTCCTCAGCAAGGGCACAGTGCACTTTTAATTTAATGATCTTTTTTATCGAGCTTATTAATATGCGTTGCAAAGTTCGTGGCAATAGCAATCAAATCCACCTTTCTGCATTGATCAAGTTTTTCAAGAGTGGGCTGAGCCAAAAACTCATCCAAACTAAACTTTTATTTTTAATCCACGCATGCAAAGAAGCGCACACATAAGCGTGTGCTCTCTTCACCAGCCAGCCAAAATACTGCCTTAACACAAAGCGAGGGACCACACCCTGTGAGGAGAAGTGCTTTATGCACCCAAATCTCACTCACCTGTGTATCCCGAAATGCGGAGCAGCCGTGTATGGGATAGCTATGCGCGCCGCTGCATTCCAGGCGCGCTCCTGAATGAATGACACCGCTGATGACGTCACTGCAGTGTTCATTCACACAAAAAATACACAGGTTAATGGGACAATAGCGGACAAGAGCGGGTGGACCACAAGTGATCCACGAGTCCTATAACACAAGGACAAGAGCGGGTGGATCACAGTGATACACGAGTCCGTTTAGCGCAAGTCACACATCAACCACTTGTCTAGGGGGTATACGTCACCGCACGGATGATCCCGGACGGGCCCCCACTTGTTACGTTCCCCTTGGCTCAAGGGGAGGCAACAAAAAGGAGGGAGAACACGGCAAAGACTTTTGATGGCTCACTGGCTGTTTTATTTAAACAATAATGTGGAATCAGTGTAAATGGTCTGGGATGTGCTGGGGTGCGTGTGTGCGAATGAGTATCAGTGTGATAACCTTATGTGTAAATGGTGCAAGTGTAAAAGTGTGGAGCGGCGTGGCTGGCGGCGTGGAGTGCAGGCCCAGACCCTGTGGACAGGTCCAGGTGTCTGCAATTGGAGAGAGCGAGAGTGCTGCCTGGGACGCCCCTCTTAAAGTCCCAGCGCAGACACTCAACCAATCCTAACCTGCACACAGAAAAAGTTAGAGTGAGGGGAGGAGTGCGCGCAATCCCATAGCTGGGCGCGTAACAGTCATTTTGGGGAACTTTCCTCGCCTGGTTTTCTTTGTGTATAATTGTTCATAAAACAGTCATCTTTTGATGCAGAGTCAAGCAGTATACTTTGTTTTTTTCAGTACAACCTGGGGTTTTAGAATATTCATATTGTAAAGCTGTCATATGAATTATATAAAAATTATGGAATCATGAAGACAAAGAAAAAAATCTAACGGAAAATCAATTTAACAAAAATGTATTGAAAAAACACAATGAAATGCTATAAACAACTTTTTACACTGCATAGAAATGTTATTTATGGTCTTGGGGATAATGGGGAAAAAAATTGAATCTCTAACTATTATACTTTTTACAAAATTCCACTATAAAAGCAAAAAACTCTGTACTCCTGATGCCCTTCCTGAAGCAGTTTGTCTATGATGCTGGGGTTGCTTCTGTAGTACAGCTGTAAAAAACGTAAAACATAAGAAACTGAGCCAAAAAAAAAAAAAAACATCAATTATTTATATAATACATATATTTATATACATCATATACACATAATGTCATTTTACTGTATTTATTATCGTCTTTATCAATAATGCGCACTCTTCAGCCGGTTATTGCAATCGCAGCTGTAGTTTCAACTGTGGGAGATCAAGTACACACAGAGGAGTGAGACGTCTCACTCTCTGACAATCTTTGGCAGTCCCCGTGTGTTTGTATCTCACAGCTGTTTGTACCTCACGGGTCACGCTTTGGACACGGACTTTCAGACAAATGTAGTTTATCCTCCGTGCATCGCACAGACAAATCAAAACTAGTTTCAGAAAGCCCTGATTACGTACTTCACAGAGGAAAAAAAAGTACGTTTTACCGTTCACGAGTAAATTGATCATTTGTAAAACATGCCCGCGTGCATCGGTGCCAATGCACGCGGGCATATAGGGTTAAAAAGCTAAAAATCCATTTACACATGGCAACACTTAAACCCAGAGACATGAGCTTTTCAATCAGTTTACCTGGGACAAGGCAGTTAAAAGCAGAGCTATAATCGATGAAAAGCATTCTAGCGACAGATTTTTCTGGGTCGGGGGGTGGCAGTCAGAGCTGCACCCAGTACACAGAGCACCAGCCCCTCACTGATCCTCCTGCAGGTGGTGAGTCCACAGGAGCTGAGATCTTTCAGTGGGGGCTTCGGGCAAAGTGGGGTTAAGTGTCTTGCCCAAGGACACAACCAAAGCAGTCATCAGTGGGAGTCGTGAAGTAGGCCTTATGGTGGGCTCGAACCCACGACCTTCAGGTTCAAAGGCCAATGCTCTACCAACTGAGCCACTGTCGCCCAATTTAGTTTAAAAATTGGTTCATAAAAAGCGATTGTGTGGGCGTGTCAATGTGTGATGGGACATGTTTTTGTTCCATGTAATGTCTTCTGTCCTTATTTGTCTCAGACCATTTTTAAAAGGATTCTCGATTCTCATTGCTGAATTGCACGGATTGATTTTACGATGTTCTGGGCAAACCTGGAATGTTTTTATTCCAAACACAGTTGATAGTACTTGTGCTTCACAGCAAGGTCCTGGGTTTGTTTCCACCTCCAGCCCTTTCTGGGTGGAGTTTGCATATTCCCCCTATGGCTGCGTAAGTTTCCCCTGGGTGCTCCGGTTTCCCGTACCACTAGAACCATGTACAATAGATCTAATTGTAATGAGTGAGTGAGTGAATGTGATTGTAGGAGTGTGTTCGGCGTCTCCCTTCTGTCGTCCCTGTGTGTGGAGTAAATGGAACACATTCATCCATCCATTTTCTTCCCCTTAATCTATTTCTGGGATGGGGGAGTGGTAGCCAGAGCTGTAGCCCGTTCACAGAACACCAGCTTTTTTTCAGCGGGGTCTTCAGGCAAAGTGGGGTTAAGTGTCTTGTCCAAGGACACAACGGCAGCAGACATAATTGAAAGTCGTGAAGTAGGTCTTATAGTGGCTTAGAACCCACAACCTTCAGACCCAAAGCCAAACATCATTAGTCCAAAACATTGTAAAGCACCTTGGGTGACCTTGGTCTTTGAAATGGGCTACATTAAAAGGCAATTATAGTTCCTTCAACTCTGGTTTAATCCAAACAAAACTGAAGAAAATACCTTTATTCAGAAAAATCTACCAGAAAAAGTACTCAAAATAATGCTAAATAAAAGTATTGCTTTGGTCAAAATGCCTTAAAGACATAAATATATAGAAACAATAACTGGAGATGCAAAAATGGCAAAGTTAAGATTCCAATTACTTTGATATAAAAAGTACAGCCTAAAGAAATGTAGCCAAAAACGAAAATCAGTTTGACCCTCAGCTCGCTAATACATAGTAATTTACCCCCCCGAGTAAAAAAGTTTGGCATCCTTGCACGAGACTAAAACAAAGCAATGCCACTCGAGAACGCCTTCATACGGACGAGTTGGGAACACAATCTGCCAGAAAACCTAATCCAAAAAGATTTTTCAGTGACTAATTGAGGTGACAACTAATTCAATAACCGTAAATCCACTCATCCGATTACTTAAGTTGAAATACGTGTTTTTCTGTGTCCTTCAGCCTTAAAGCAGATGGTATGTTAGGTATGAGTGTAGCTGCAGGAGACAGGACATGGTGACATGAGCACATTTTGAATTTTGTGGTGATTTTAACTCACTGTGACAAGTGCACGGCTCTGTAATATTTATATATGTCACCACTTAAGTGTCCGGTGCCACAAAACCCTCAGGCCATATCATGTTTTTACTTCTTATCTCCGCCTGGCTGAACACAGGCAGCAGAAAGAGGAAATTAGGCCAAATTACACAATGACAAGATTCAGAAATGGCATGGGGTTGTATGTCTTATAATGTGAAGTGGCATCAATGGAAGAAGAGCCATTTGCATGTGAAACCAAGTAAGACAAATATGTTCCAACCGTGCTGACTGTAACAACACAATCAAATCCATACAGGGCTCTCTAAAACACAAGAGGAAGTTCAATTCATTCTTCAGGGACATATTTTATAGGGATTGATACTTTTTATGCACAGGCTGTAAATGTCTGCAAAAAACTACATAATATGAGGTAATAATTGCTGGAATCGAGTGTTTTTTTTAATCTTAATCTGAGCACATTCTGACTGTGATAAAACAAGATTTGCCATTTAGTCTTATTTCAAGAACGGCTGCTGTATTTTTTATTCCAAGGGAGACATTTCTAGTTTCTTTTTACAACAAGATCATTTTGCTCAATGTCAAATTGGAAAATCTTGTTTTAAGGCTCAGTCAGAATGTGCTCAAATTAAGATTCACTTTAACAAATGTACCACACTATAGCAATTTTTGACTTATTTTTCATCACTTTTTGCAGTGTAGAACAAAAACAAGATTTATTTGTATGGCATATACACCTGCAATGTGATGAACACCGAGATTTTTATTTCATTACATTTGTTTTTTTGTGTTAAAAAGTCTGCCGGGAATTAAAGTCTGAACAAATTAGTCTTTAGTTTACTCTTGTGAGCGCAACGTCAAAGTGCATTAGACGTCAATAGTAAAAAAGTAAGTCAACTTGATTTACAGCATTTTGCACATTTCACAGATCAAGATCACACAAAATGCTGTATAATCATGTCATGTCATTTTTATGGGTCCATTTCTGGGTCGGGGGGTGGCAATCATAACTGCCCCAGTAGTCCCTCGCTGATCCTCCTGCAGGCGGAGGGTCCACAGGAGGATGGCGGGTCCACAGGAGGATGGCTGCTCCTTCATCACATGGCCTTGGTGTTTCAGTGGCTCAGTTGGTAGAGCATTGGCCTTTGAGCTTGACGATTGTGAGTTCTATCCCACCACAAGACCTTCTCCACTGACTCCCACAGATGTCTGCCGTTGTGTCCTTGGGCAGGACCCCACTTTGCCTTGAGGACTCACCACCTACAGAAGGACCAGAGAGGGGCTGGGGCTCTGTGAATTGGGTGCACCTCTGACTGCCACCTCCCCGACCCAGAAATGGATAAAGGGGAAGAAGATGAATGAAGATCCATTAACAATTTGGTGTACATGTGTATTCACTCCACACACAGTAATGGCTACATGGTGCAGTCAAACACCATCTTAAAAACAAAACCAAACCAGACCAATACTGCAGACTTATATCAGCTGTAAACAATGTGCACCAGGTTTTTGGAGTTGCCCACTATAATGAAGAGTTAATACACGTTTGTCAGTCTTCTAAGATATATTGATCTAAATGATTTGATTGAAAGGTGTGCGTTAATTATGATTTAACATACAAGAACAAAAAGATGAAATAACCAGACCCACAGTGAATCTAAAGAAACGTTTTGATCCAAACGCTGAGGTTGCATTCTACATGAGTTACATTTTACGAGTGGGTTCTTAGCCTAAGAAGCAATTTAATGGCTCATTGATGTGAAGACTTTTTCTCACACAGGCTAAAGTCGTGGAATCCATAAATATTACTTATTAAAACACACCATCCCCATAAGTCTAATTTAAAACATATTTAACTAACTGTGTATTCCAGCAGCTCCAGTTTATTTGTAGTAAATATAAATATTATCATCACATCTGCCACACATGGCTCGATCTTTCCGAGTCCCAGAGCCTGCTAATAAATACAAACTAATACATTCTATACTTTTTATCAACTCACAAATGCATAATAATAATAATAATAATGATAACAATATAAATGATTAGTAAGATTGCGCCACGCTCCGGGATTGGTAAAGGGACAGACTGTGTGTGGTTGTATTTGTTGTTAAAGGCTTTGTGACTCTGGGTCCGTGAAAGGTGCTATATAAGTAAAGATGACTTACTTACATATTTAGACTTGCACTTACTCGTATGCGCTGTACCTCCATGAAAACAGCTCTTTGGAAAGACTTCTCCCAACAGTTCAGGTCCGAGGCCAGCTCCACCCTGAAGCTGCGGCTCTGGCTGTGTCCCACCAGGATACTGAAGCAGAGCGAGTCCTCGTGCTGCTCCGGAGAGTGCTCCAGGCCCAGGTAGAGGCGCGCCTGCAGCCAGCAGTCGTCCGTCATCCACAACTGCAGCACACACAACATGTGGATCAAAGCACCACCTCAGCTCTGTTTAGTATGCAGCTCAAAGACGACTGTGTTTGTCAGAGCAGAGAAGCGCCATGTGCCAAGATGAAAACACACTCATTATATTTGCTACAGCCTTGATGGCAGCTCGCAGCAGAGAGCCAGGCTTACCTTGTGGACCTTGAAGAGAACCTCATAGAGGTTGTATGTGGTTTCAGCTTGTCCCCAATCAGCAGCACTAATCTGAAAAATAACCATCAGAGGAGAGATGAACATCAGTCCTGCGTGCACTTGTTATGCTGCTCTCAACGCTGATATTTAATGCAAATTAGAATTACACAGGTGAGCAGTATGTGAATACACATCAGGGAGGACACGCACAGGAATCGGGGAATGAAACAAATTGAATAACAGAGGATTTGTCAAGATGCAAATCTGTTTGTAGGAGTAATCCCAGTGATATACAACATTGTTGCGCACAAACACGCACACACACACACACACACACACACGCGCGCACACACAAGTGAGAAACTTTAGTTCTTTTGGATCCCACTGAAATGTGTGTGAATAAATGTCATCAGTATTTATTTACCACAGGGAATTGGCTTTAGAGTATTTAAGTATAGTTCATAATAACAGCATTAGAGCCTAATGCTTTCCACGCACACTTCCTCAAGCTCCTTCAGGGAATACTGAGATGTTCCTGGACCAGCTGAGACCCTCCAGTGAGTCCATGGTCTTCCCTGGGGCCTTCCCACTGGACATGCCCAAAACACCTCCTCAGGGAGGCGCTCAGGAGGCATCCGAAATACATGCCAGAGCCACCTCAGCTGACTGTCTCTAAGAGAGCACTCATCACCTTTGAAAAGGTAACTTATATAGACCACTTTTGTCCTGTCGCTCCCAAAGCTCTCCTCTTCACCGTAACTGTAAAGTATCCTCCTGAGATACTTGATCTTGTGAGGGTACAGAGCTGTGGCATCAGTGCAAACAAGTCAAACTGTAACTTGACAAACGTCCAACAAACGTTTATACCCTCCTCAATGCTTCATGCCTCCACAAGGCCTAGTCATGTCTGCTGTTGGAGACTTTTGCAAAAGCACTTTTCAGATACCCACAAATGAATTTCAATGAGGTAAGATGGTTATTACATTCGAGAGGGGAGTCTCCTGTTCCTTTGAGAGGAGTTATGGCTGTGATGGAGAGCGCTTGTTATGGTTTTAAATGATGTGTTGGGTTTCACTGGTGCTGAGTTAACTATAGCAGAGGGAAATAGATTGCTATAGTCCTTGATAATGAAAGAAATATGCATTTCTAAAAGCACAACTTTCTATTTAACTTAATTTATGGACATTAGTCTCTCCCTATAGACCAATACAATGTGTTCTATAAGTTTTGTGTTTTGACTGTTTGATTTTCTGATCTGTGTTGGCTAATTCAACAGTTTTTTGAGTCCTCTGAGAGAACTACTGTTTACGACTATACAATAATACAGTAAAATGAACTCAATGGTAGGAAGAAGATACATGTCTTTTACCACTTCACTGGTGTGTATGTAAAGTATGTGTGTATGTTTGTAGGTATATGGACGTTTGATGTTATCTCATTTATTAAAAATGCAACACTGTAATTAAACTTACAATTACAACATGGAAATGTAAAATGTAAGCCACAAACATGATTCAATTACATAAATAAATATGCTTTTGAATAAATTTCCGAGTTTCACCTGTATGAGCATTGAAAAATATAAGGAAATGTGTGAGAGAAGCCACGTCACTGTATATAAACAATAACATTGATGAAAGCATATCTTCAATGACTGTCTTACCGGTGGATCTCTGAATACAGAAAAGTAGGGCCCCCGGAGTGCGAGGAACTTGAAAGCTGCTGCGTGAGTACTACTGGTGCCTTCTGGGTTTTCACACGCCCATCCCATGTGAACCACCTGTAGAGGAGACCATGACTCCATTAACCAGAGTGTGAAGAAGATGATCCTCCCTCTCAGCCCTCGCCAACGGACTCTCCAACAGAGAGTCTGCAGCTTTAGTGAATGAATAAATCAGGAGGCCAAGCAGACCGTTTCATGGCTTTGATCTACCAATGAGCTCTCTGCATCTCTAATCGAACAGAGACGGCTGCATGTATTTCCATCACTACATCTACTTTACAAACGGTACCTTCAAATGTGTACGGTACATCTGGTATAAATAGTTCCTTATAGCAGTTCTTGTCCACAAAACAAAACACAGTCTCCCTCTGCACTTACGGGAGAGTCCTACACTGGTCACCTTTAAAACTCAAATAAAACAATGACTGAAAAGAAACCAGTCATGTGACCAGTAGACTCTGTGCTGTCTGTATTGTAATGTGTTATTTTGTATTTTACTGTATTGTATGTTGTCATTTCCTATGTATTTTCTTTCCTAGGGACTACAGATTAAAAGTAGCTTGGTAGCTATAATCTGGCCTATATTTACATTTGTTTTATACTGATGTTCATTAACGTGCATTGTCCCTATCAAATAAATGAAAAGCGTCTCCCACACCAAGCAAAATGAACCGATGTTGAGCTCTAGTGTAATTCAGACGCTAAAATAAGGTGATTTAACTTTTAATGGTGCAATCAGTGAACCTTCAAAACAGCACTTTATCAGTTGGAACAGTATATGGTAATGGAAGTAATCTGTTCTAATTATAGTTTCCATATTTGATTGAGGACATTGCAGATGTTGCTTGAATACACAGTACTTTTTACTTGCTTCTTATTTAGAGTTAGGGTTAGAGATTTTATACTTCTTTATTTTGTTAACGATAGAGATGTTATACTTGTTTCTTTGATGCTAGAGTTAGAGATCTTATTTTATTTGAATTAGTATAGCTATTGTTAATTTATCTTGTGCTATGTGCTCCTCATTCATAACGTATGATGCAACACTGAAATGTCCCCACTATGAGACAAATAAAGGATCTCGTAATCTAAATCTTATATACATCTTCTTCTATTGGTCATATACTCTGCTGCTGAAGTACAAACTAAACATCTGTAAATACATCATGGCTGCTGCTGACTAGTGTTGTCCACAAGTGGTTATCCATGAACCAAGTGCAAATATAATTCCAGTGTCATTTTATAATCTTATATCTTATAATGTTATGTTGTTATCTATCATCTTAAAGGTATATACTGTAGGAGGATTATTAGGTGGATCATCAAGACTATTGTTCCTCCCAATTGTCAATCATTCTGCTGATACATGCTTGTCAAATAAGACCGGAGAGTTTTGTTCAAAAAGTGGAGAGGGCGGTTCTTTGGGAAAATCCTCCAATAATCCTTTCAAATAATGGATCAATAATGAGCAATCTGAGTGCTCTAAATTCTCCTGTTATTCTGCTGTAATGTGCATTTAAATTTCCCCACAGTGGGACACATGAAGGTCTATCTTATCTTATCTTTCATCTTTGTAAAATGTATCTGTAATACATTATTCAACGATCCGATTTTTTGCATTTAAACCTTTGTAACTAATTCATTTTGGAAGACTGCAGCAAAGAAACGTCTCAACTAATAATATAAATACATGATATACATTTTATTTCTTATTCGCCTGTCTAGCTACTCACAGCCGCCTTACACCAGAAGCAGAAAGTACATTTAGTTAAAATACAGCTGTCTGATTTTACCGCAGTAGCTTCAAAGCAGAATATGTTTTAGCCACACTAAACCAGGAAACCATATGGCGCCTGATGTACCAGCCTGATGCCGGTACATTCACTCTCCTCTGGACATACCTGATCATCGGAGGAGCAAAACTTGTTGATGATTTGTATCTGTGGAAGGAAGAAACAAGCGCGTTAAAGAGAAACACATAATTTTCAATCGAGTGACTCTGAAAACTGAGAATGCACGTATGTAAATAATATCAACAGACACATGATGAAGTCACTTTCCGATTTTAAAAAACCCACTCTGGGCGCTGTCATGTGCTAACGAGCCGAGTCAGTGTCGGAGCAAGTCTATTTGGAGGTTGGAGGTCGTTAAAACAAAAGTCGTCCTCTGTTGCATTCTCGGTGGCACAATTACCTCTTGATTGGCCATTTAGTAATCAGACTGTGCGTCCGTGACGAGGTGCCGCATAAATCAGGGCTCTTAAAGAAGGCAGCTGCACGGGCCTTACAGTATCATCAGCGTCTTAATCAAAGTGGAATGGAAGGAAATGAGAGAGAGAGGAGCAGGGCACGGCACGATGGAATCACTACTTAGAACTCATTAATTAACTACGAGAGAGGCTCTTTTTGGGGTGGGTGGGAGAGAGGGAGGTGGGTGATCGCCACGGCTACGCTCCGGTCGCTGTCAGCTGTCTCACATTATCAAAGGATCATGCACTGACAGAAAAACATGTCATTCTCTTTGAGGTGAGAACAAGTAGACAAGGAGAGCAGCATGTGTTGACTTTATTATTCATTTGAACCAATTAGGCTGTAGTGCATGTGTGTCAAAATCAAGGCCCGGGGACCAGATCTGGCCCACGAATTAATGATCTTGGCCCCGAGAATTATATTTGATTAGTATTTGAACAGGCCGAGTTGTTCAGGAATGTTCAGGACGTACAGTATGCTTTCTCTTCGAAAGAAGTTTTAGATTGGAGTTCTTTAATTGACACTAGTTAACAAAGTATAAACATCTCTTGATAAGATCACGTTGTGTCCAGTTAAAATGGTTCATATAGACTTTGTTTTGCTGTTGGTTAAGTGTCATGTTCAACAAGAAAACCTGCAGCTTTTATTTTAGTACTGTCGATAGTTTTAAACAAAACAAACATTCTAGCTGCGGTTTATGCACGCACAGGTGCATTTATTGGCTCTGAAAATACTGTCAAGGCGAGGTCAGTTTAGCAAAAAAACCTAAATAATACAGTCAAATTCTCCCTTTGGAAGTGCAAGTTTCCTCCGATTGCATCAAATCTGCAGATGGATCCCTGTGTGCTGTACCACAGCAACCGCTGCTCCTGACAGACGCCCTGACGGCAACGAAGGGTGGGTCAAATGCAGAAGACAAACTTTCCCCAGAGACAATAAAGTCCAGCAAGGCTACATGCCTTTACATTCTACTTAAACCCATTTATTAACTTAGAAAATGATTAGTCAAGTCCAACCTACTGCTACTGGTCAACAACGATACAACTCAAATACAACAAGTAACCTTACTCATAAACTCTCCATCATGCTGCTACATCACATTCATCTGTTGTTTAAACTCTTACATAAGAACAAGCACGTCAAACTCATTTAACCCATTCTATTGCATGGTATAATTTATTTTAAAGCTACTCAGAAAAAACGAACTTTGCATTTAATGTATTTATGCATTTTAACCCAACACATAAACAAGCTAAATGTTATAATTGACCACTTTTGAACTCTCCATCTCTGCTGCCACATCACAGAGATATTTTATCTGGGGTTATTTAGAAGCTGTGGGCCATAATTATTGACAAACTGATATGTCATGTTTTAGTTTCACATTGAATTACAGAACAAAATGGACTTTTGAACAACATTCTGATTGTCCTAGTTTCACTCGTATGCACACGTTGTAACGTCTTATCATGTTGTGATGTATGATCATGTACAGGTTGTAAGCCAAAATATTTTTGATAAAAGCACAAACTGATCCTTCATGGTGCCGTCTGAGCAGTGATGGACTCACATTCTCCTGTGTTAGATCACTGATATTGGTGGATATTGCTTGGAGCCAGTCTGTGCTCTCCGCAGCAGTACAAAATTGCAGAATATAGGTGCAGGCGCGTTCCAAGATGAACACTTCAAAACAGTTGGACCTGGATGAACAGAGAGAGTGGAATTAGACACAAGTGCAGCTGAAAGAAGAATTTGACTTAGGCCCGAGTTGTTCCAGCTGCTATGACTCGTGATTAAGACGATTTTACAAAAGGCAAAAATCAACCTTGCCACTTTTCTAACGAGAATCTTCTCGGGCAATAACTTATGTTCCAATCATTGTGTCCAAGTAACGCATAGAACAGAACCTTATGTTAGTTTTGTGGTGACCGACTTTCGAGGGGAAAAAGAGAGATCAAGCTTTTCAACAATAACCTCTTGATTGCGGTATGTAATAATAATAATAATGATACTAAAAATACACAAAATACAATATTGTATCAGCCTTGAATAGTGCTTTTCCATACACTATTTAATTCCATTGTGAACAGATATACATTTTCAATGGTTTTCTGTCTGCATTCTGAGCATTTTCCAATTATGTGTAAGCTCGGTTTTCATTATTTTGGCAAAAACAATTACACAAATATTGCTTTCTCAGTAAGATATTGGTCACAAAATAACTGGAACAAATCAATCTGCTGGGACTCCATAAAAACATCTTGTCTTGCAGCAAGTGAAACCTGTGAAGCCTTACCCCCAACCTTTGCCTGGTCCAAGCCATCCGTAAACTCCGCTCAATTATCATTTCCGTCATGTACATCTGGGTCTGATCCTAGTGGCTGCAGTTTCCTCAGATGAATCCCCTCCGACCATTCACTAAGCGGGGGAGTTGGGTGTTGTAGGAAGGTCAAGAGTTTACACCAAATTAGCCACTTGTATTTTGACAATGTCGGAGAATGCGAGTTTAGTAATCTGTTCTGGTTCGACTCCAAAATATTAAGAAGTTGAAACCGCAGCAAGAGGAATGTTCAGCAAGTTTCAATCCTGCAAAGATGTTGTGGCACTACTCCCCACAGGCTCTGTTAGTGGAAAAGGAGATGGCTAAAGCTAGGCTAAATGCTAAATGGCTCACTCACTTGGGATCAATACATACGTCACGGTAAACTCAGATCCAATCGTTCCAATCTGCAAAAGGAGTTAACCCGTCCCACCTGTTAACGGAGCTCAATGGAGCAAACCTTGACCTTAGCACGAAATTAATCAAGTACGACGGTGTGGTAAGGCCAAGCTACCTCAGCACAGGATAAGCTCATCTAACCTTTTCTGAACAAAAGAAGATTTTATAAGATATAGAAAAAAAAGTTTAAAAAAAAGTTACAAAAAATGTCCACAATATTTGTGATTTCTTGTAGATTATCCAATCAGAGATCAGAATGAGTCTCTAATTAAGATTGCCAATGTATTAGGTAAAATTCAACTGGTCTTGGCTCTTTTCTTAAAAATAAAAATAGCAGCCCACATTTGTTTTAAGTCAAAGCAGATGTAAAATTAAGTTTGTTGTCTAGCGTATTGTACATTTCTAGCTCAACCCCAGCAGGTGGTTTGCATCAGTAATCAGTTCTCAGGAGCTCCATGTGTCAAAGGCGAGAAGATTCTGGCCACAAAAGTTGAATAGTTTTGTGGGAACTTTACGAAAACACTAATTGTGCAAACTACATATGGTCCCTCTAAACATATTTGATTTGTGAAAAACCCAGCTTAATAAAATGTCTGCTCTCCGCTGCTTTTATGAGTGATTTGTTTTTGGTCTCAAAGTTTGTGAATCCCCGATGGCCGCTGAGGTCAAGGCTGACACTTTTAATCTTGTGTGTTGATGAGTTGTTGATGAGGTGCTCTTCTAGAATCGCACTTATTATCCTAATGTGCCATTTCCCCTCAGCCCGTCCACAGCTAATGACAATTCTAGCCCCAAAAGCCAAAAAGTCAAAGTGTTAATGTGGAAATAAAAACATCCCACTTGATGACTGAGAAAGATCGAAGCAAAGTTGAAAAGATGTTATTCGCATTTGCTTTCGTTACAAACTCATTTTAGCCAAAAAGTGACCAGGGAAAAAAATATTTATAGTGGGGCTGCAGTAGAGTTAACATGTCTTCTCCTCTCTGCTGGAGGCCTGTGATGTTACACAGTCAGCGGCCCTCATACACCCCCCAGTGAGCTGCTCTTGCGCTGTGTTTGTGGCGGCAGTGAAGCCTGATGGGAGCAGTTTGGGCTGCAGCAGAAGAGCGGCACCGCGGACAACACCCGGGAAAACAGGGTGAAAAGGAAAGAATCATGTAACAGTGAAACATAACTGCGTTCAGGCTGCCAAACGTGAGAGAATGTACATGAAAGAATGTTCTCAGTAATGCAAACCCTTACATAAGAACAAACATGTCAAACTCAAGTAACCCATTCTCACTATGGCATGGTATACCTTAATTCAACTTGTCCTTGTTACTTGTACCTCATAATTCTTTAATACTTTGGAGTTTATAAATATACATAGGATGATCTCAGATGGAAAGCTCAAAATCATTGAACTTTGGGGACACATTTGTAACATACAGGACATGTCGTGCTGTAGTCTTTGTGAATGGAAGAACTACCAGCACAGGGAAGACTATTTCATGGCTAATTGTGCAAAAAATATAATTCAATAGCTGCAGACAAAGTGGGCATTGTGGACGTAACACATCACGTCCTCTGGTTGTTTCGTCCAAAACGGCTGGAGCAATGTTAAAAGAACAGGCATTAACCAATCAGTGTTGAAGTATTTCCTCCTTCACTGCACAAACGAGATGGAACAAAACAAGAGTGGGAGCTGTGAACATTCGGCAGTAGTGGCCGTGGACATTTTGGGACTATTTTGTGTTAGTGACCCAAATGTAACACATTAGTGCAGTTTAGTTTGGAGTGAGCCACAATAGAAATGTTACAATAAAAGCAAAACACTTATATACTTTCAAACCCGAGCAGCTCTTATCTTTTAAAGTTTTCCCCGACCAAAATGACACCCCTGCATTAGAAAATAATGGTAATATTTGTTTGAATAAATGTGTTAAGTTTATAATTGGAACCCTAGCCCTATAACAATAGGCAGGGAGTCGTGTGCTCAGACCCTGAGCTAATTTCAGAGTAAACTAAATTCACTTCTTTGACTTTCTTGTCCTTAGGCAGTGCACTACTCACTTTGTCTTTGTGTAATTTGTTTTGTTGCACTTTGTAAAGCACATTGATTTTCAGTCTTGGAGTAAACGTGTTCTCAAAATGTATCTTCTTCAATGAATGAAGAAAATAATGGATAGTTAATTATGCAACAATAAGAGGCATCTGTTTGAAACGCCCATAATTGGCCTTTCTGTGCACCTCCCTGTGCACCTCCCTGTGCATCTCCCTGTGCACCTCCCTGTGCACCTCCCTGTGCACCTCGCTGTGCATCTCCCTGTGTACCTCCCTGTGTACCTCCCTGTGCACCTCCCTGTGCACCTCCCTGTGCACCTCGCTGTGCATCTCCCTGTGTACCTCCCTGTGTACCTCCCTGTGCACCTCCCTGTGCACCTCCCTGTGCACCTCCCTGTGCATCTCCCTGAGCACCTCCCTGTGCATCTCCCTGAGCACCTCCCTGTGCACTTCCCTGTGCACCTCCCTGTGCACCTCCCTGAGCACCTCCCTGTGCATCTCCCTGAGCACCTCCCTGTGCATCTCCCTGAGCACCTCCCTGTGCACTTCCCTGTGCACCTCCCTGTGCACCTCCCTGAGCACCTCCCTGTGCACCTCCCTGTGCACCTCCCTGTTCACCTCCCTGTGTACCTCCCTGTGCACCTCCCTGGGACTGCCTCAGGATGACATCACTGATGTTTATTTTTTAAATGTGAGTATAAAGATAATAAAATACTGTACAAACAGCATTTCATTTACAAACACCTGAACCCAGGCACACATTTGAAATGAAACTCATTCAAAATGGGATGTTAGTTACAACATCCAATTTTTCTAATCTCAACAATACATGCTTTCTTTCTGAAATTAAAGATATATAAAAAGACAAGGAAACAAACCAACTCTTCGATAAAACGTAGATAAAGATGATACTTTTGCTTTAACTCCGTGGTAACTGTCTTTACAGAATCTAAATATGTAACTGATTAGTCTTGTGTTTATATGTTCAGTCAATCAAAGAGCAGAACATTAATTACACTTTAATGAACGTGGATGTCAGTTACATTTCTAATGGTTTTAAAATAAGAATATATAGTGTTGTAGATTATAAATACAGCACACGTTGAAACACAATCATGTTTTCATTCATGTGTCAACCTTTATCAAAATGTGAAATTTTACATTTATTCATGAAATGTTTTCAATGCAAGTGTTTTTATATGATGTGTTTTCATATTAGCCTGAGGTCAATGAGTTTACAGTAAAACAAATAGTTATATATCCATGGAGTCAAACAGGTAAAGCTACAGTGTGCAAACTAAATCTTTAAACTATCCTGACTTAATCATTTTCCCTGTTGTTGCAATGCTTTCTCATCCTGTGGGGTTTATTGGATCGTGTCTCTCTGCACGCTGTGGACACGCGGCCGGCACGTGGCTTGCAATGATAAAACGGCGCCACAGAAGAGATAATCAAAGCGATGGACAGCTGCCTGCAGGATCATTCTCAGGGAAAAGTCAGATCTCCACAGCGCTGCACCATCAGAGAGTTGGACAGACAACCCCACAAGGATCATGGGAGATTCTATAGGCAGCCCACTCTGCTGTCTCCCTAAAGGCATTTCTGTCTGCTGACGAGGCAGGAAAGACCGAAACGGAGGAGTGTGTGATCAGTGGCCATTCACACACGGACGAGCTTCACAAGAGAGAAAAGAGATTGGGAAAGGTGTGCAGCTGCTAATGTGAATAGTAATGAGTGCAAAAATGTGCCGTGGCTCTGCTGATTAGCGGAGCGTGGATCAGTGGAGGAGCCATGGGGCAGTTTCACTTGAATTAATAACTATAAGAGTTTAGTTGCACGCAGGTAAAAGTTGCAACAGATGTATCGGGCTTGCAGATAAATGTGCTTTGTAATCCTCTGTTTAACTCCAAATTGAGTTCTTCCTATTGGTCAACTACTTTTAGTAATAATAATAATAATAATGCATTGGTTTTATACAGCACATTTTTAGTTGATATTCTTTCACTCAATACAAAATGATCATAAACGACTACAGTAGCCACAGCTGCCCTGGGGCACACTGACAGAAGTGAGGAAACCAGTATGTGCCATCGGCCCCTCTGATCACCATCAACGATTCACACGCACATACCAGACTCATTCTTGGCAATGTGGGTGAAGTGTCTTGCATAAGGACACAACGGATAAAAGCCAAGGTGCAGCTGCAGTCACCCCACTGTGGCACCTGGTGTTCCCAGAGGTCTCCCATCACAGATCTAACCAGTCCCTGCCTTGCTTAGCTGCAGAGGTCTGACAGGATCTGGCTTACACATGCATTTATGGCCCTAACCAACGCATTAAAAAAAAAATGTACTACGCTTTTCAACTCAAGCTAAAATGACACTTTTATGATACAGGACCAGTATTTTATGACAAGTTTTCTGAAAATAAGACAATAATACTAGCCCCAAATGACTTGATTCTAGTATAAAACGTAGATTTCAAGTATTATTTACTTATTTATTAAATTTTTTTCTTAAAATATAGCATAACATTATTTTAGCTAAACCACAAGAAAAGTTGTCTGGAAAAAAGAAAGCATTACAGACTCAATGCTCAGACTTCTTTCTCTAATAATATTATGAAGTAAAATTATCTTAAAGCTAGTAACATAATCCTACATGACAAACTAAATAAAAAATAATAATAAAAACTTTCCATAAAAAAAGCATAATTTACTATTGTTGATTATTATTTTTTACAATTATTTACTGCTATTTTTAGTAAATATTTCTTACCAATATCTTCCTTTTTATGTGAGTTTTAAAATTATGAATAACATTTCTCCCAACCCACATTTTAATGAATGTCAGATTTAGTTTTAAACTTAATTCATAGGTGTCTTAAGATACAGACGTCTTTTTTGTTTTTGAAGTGGGAGAAAGAGAGGGCAAAGTGAGTGAAAACTGCAGCTCTGAGTTTCCCTGTTCCCCTTCATTCTCTTCTTTATATGAGTAGAAGAAAAAGGTTTGACAATAGCTCTTTTCAGAATGACGTGTCTCTTTATTAATTTCCTTTAAAAATAATAACATATTGTGGTGACTGCGGCTGCTCTTTGTGCGATTCAGCCTTGGACTGACAAGAAGAGCAGCTCTAAACGTAGACTCATTACAGCCGAGCACTAATGGAAAGAAATGGAATGACCACTGTTGAGCTGAAATGACAAGAATGGGCAGTTATGACCATAAATATGATTCAGCCCAGATGTGTGTCATTCAATCAGAGGTTCTGTTTTAAAGTTTAGTTTAGCTGTGCATACAACTAAAGGATTTTATATTTACTCTTTAAAAAGCACTTTGGCTATTTATATTTCTAATCCCATGTGTGATTTTTGTGTTTTTTAATATTTCTTGTGAAATATTAAAAAGGAGACTTTCTTAAAGTAGCCTGGTCGTACCACACCATTGTACACATTTCATTTCGTACTAAGATCTGGATGTGCACCTTTGAGCTCTGTTAATAGGTGGGAGGGGTTAACTCCTTTTGCAGATTGAAATGATTGGATCAGAGTTTACCGTGATGCATGCAATGCCGCGAGTGAGTCGTTAGCATTTAGCATTTAGCCTAGCCATCTCCTTTGCCGCTAACGGAGCCCATGGGGAGTAGTGCCACAATCTTTGCCAGCAATGACTTTGCCATACATTCCTCTCGTTCCGGCTTCAATTTCTTGATAGAACCAGACCAGAATACTTTACTATCGCATTCTTCACCTTTGCCAAACCACAACCTGCCTGTTCGGCGCAAACTCTCGACGTCACCCACAACTACAACACCCGCATCCCGCGCTCACTGACTGGTCGGATGGAAATCTACCGATGTAATCGCTAACACAGGGACCAAACCCAGACGTTACATGCAGTGAAATGATTATTGACTGGAGTAAACGGATGGCCAGGGCCAGGCTAATCTTAAAGTAGCAACATGTAAGATTTTCATGTCAAGTCATCATTAAATGGTCCTAATCCGTCAAAAGGCATTAATAAACCATGCTCTTTTCAAATGCTCCTTTAACAGATAAAAGTAGTTCAGCCGAGCTATTTGAATCTCAAAATAGTTTTACAGCCCTAAATGATCCGTCATCCGGGTTGCCAGAACTCACCGCGTCGAACTAATCTCACTGGTAAAGTAAAAAAGGTCTCGTTATGATTCTCAAATCATTAACGACAAAACAAAGAAATAAAACAAGGATTTCTATCTTTGTGAAAAAGATGTTGGTTATAGATTTGTTGTTGACAAAACTTGTCTATTCAGCTATTATGGTCCCAGCTGGATTCGTCTGTATATCTGGCAACCCAAGTCAGGGAGTGTGGGTTGTGAGGCACTTTGTGTTGCCTTGTGTAGGAAAGGCACTAAACACAAATAAAAGTGAATTGATTGATTCTCATCCTCTTCCAGCAGCAACACTCACAGTAATAATGAAACTTCTGAAAATGAGAAGGACGGAGATAATTGCTTTCGTTTATTGTCTAACAACAGATTATTGTTTTATGAATGGGTTTCTTTCAAGCAAATGTTGTATTTGGCTGAATTCTGTAGTAGTTTCTCCAAATGTTGAAGCTTCATTCATTTTTCAGTTAAGAGGGATGCTTTTCCCCCTGGGACAAAATGATTCTGATTTCTGTTTTGGCCAATCTGAGGAAAACTGTTTATGTTCCAAAGTGACTGTGCTCACCACTCCATAAAATGTTGAACATTCTTCTTTTAAGACAACCTTAATTGGGTGAAAAGTGGTTTGCAATTTGACCATCTGGAACCCACTGCAATCTTGTGACCACAGACTGTGCATCATTTTTATCCTTTTTCTCAACTGAGTTGTTCTTGTTTGGCTGGGAATGTTCCGCAACATTGTACAACATCTCTCAAGTTTGAATTTACAATTACAACAATATACATCCGTAATCTAAACAAAAATCATGATTATTCCTTAAAGAAGAAATATTACACACAATGTGTGGCCTTTAAATATGATTATGATACTATATCACTTCTAGAATGTGAATCGTACATAATACTTGGTGAAAAAAGGGGCAAGAATCAGCCTGCATTATCCCAATACTACCACCAGAGGGAGGTGTAGCTTTGTTTTTTTCCAATTGGAAAATTACTGGTTGCAAACGCGACTATGTAATTGCAAAAAAAATTATAAAAAAATCCAAAACATATTTATGGGCAAAACTTGTTGATTGAGAAGGTAGAAAACTGACTGTGATGCCATAGTGGTGAAATGACAAAAGATAAGTTACAATATACTGCATCTATAAAAGTATCAGTGTAATGCTGCAGTGATGCATCACAAAAACAATATTATATTATATAATAATCATATAGAGGTAAGGGTGAGGCAATCTAGCACAAAACAGGTTCTCTTTATATACAATAGTATTTTCTTAATTAACAGACTTTGCTTGTCAAAGCAGAAATAATTATAATTGACTCTTGAACCAAGAAAAGCTGAGAATACCTGATCATACATTCCCCAAATGCAGATTTTCCCTGATGATCCAAAAACACACACTTGAGCAACACAATATAACCTGAAGGATTAAAATGACTAAAAATATCTCAGCATTATTATATTTCTATTCGGTGATTATTGCTTGTCCTGGATTGGAAATGGAACAGCGTGATTGAACAGGCTTTTATAAAGAGTGGAAAAACACTGGCGTAACTACAGCGCACTTGAGAATCGATATAGGAGCAAGGCCGGCATAATAATCAAACACACTTACAAGTTTGGAGTGGTGTTCTCGCTCCATCAGTGACCTTTCCCGTGGTTTATGTCCATGCATAGATATTGGCATTAAATGGAAAGGGCTTTTTTTTTTGCTTAAGCCACACAGCTGCTGCCTGCAATGATGGGACCTCAAGGTTGAATGGGATCACACCTGGATTAGCGCCTTACCTTAATTTGTCTGCAGCCGTTTTGTATCTGGAGACCCGGGCCATGGTCAGGGGCAGGCACTCGTCGTCCAGCCACCGCTTCTCGTACTTTGGCTCATTAGCGGAGGGCGACGGAGGTGAGGGAGCCTGGAACGAAAACAACAAAAAGCATTCATTTTCAGTTTGCAACAGCGTAGAAGCTTTGGGACGTATGCCTTCCAGGGAGCTGCATTTGCGACGTTAGCTCTGAAGCGTTTCGACCTGATTTAGAAGATCTCTGACACAAACATGCGACGGGGGAAAGTTCCAGCTTTTAAAAACTATGTTAGAATCCTGGTGTTGCATAAGGTTAGCCTCGTGATAGAGGAACACCAAGTTATTATCATTGAGTATGTTGATTATTTTGATCTTGATACTCATGGCAGACGTCTTGATACACTATCGATCAATCATTTAAACATTTATTTGTAAAGCACATTTAAAACAGCCAAGGCTTGCCAGAGTGCTGTACAGACAGTAAAAAACAGCACAATAAAAACACATACAAATACAGAAATAACTACAGATTCTGAGAAAAACATTCTTATAAAAACTGCTCCTCAGCCTGTAAGTAAGTAATGTTTATGTGTGTAGTGCATTTTCCAGACCAAGGTCACTCAAAGCGCTTTACAGAGTTCAGATATTTTTTCCATTCTCTCCACACACGGCAATGACAGAAGCAAAACGCTGAACACAATGGTGGATCAAAGCCCCCATCAACACCATTCATTCACTCTCTTTACATTCATACTTGGCTATTGTACATGTTTTTAGTGATAGGGGAAACTGGAGCACCTGGAGGAAACCTACACAGACCTTATCTCAGCAAGCATGAGATACGGTTAGTGTTGTAGCGGGTCGTACTGGTGCAAACTGTGACTGCGAGAGCTGTACATGCAGAGCGAGCATGGGGAAATACTTAGTATTTATCGACGCAGTGGCGCAGTGGTTAGCGCCTCTTTCTGTGTGGAATTTACATGTTCTCCAGGTTTCCTCCGGGTGCTCCAGTTTCCCCTACCACTAAAATCATGTACAATAGGAATGAATGTAATGAGGATTGTGACGGTCAAGGGCTTTGATGCGCCAGTGTGTCCGGCGTCTCGCTTCTGTCATCACTTGTGTGGAGAGAATGCAAAAAAATATACTGTAAAGCGCTTTGTGTGATCTTGGACTGTGAATTGATTAAGACATCCTTTTTCCATCCCACAGCGGGGAAATTTCAGTGTTGCATCATAAGTTACAGAACAGTAGGAATGAGGAGAAGTGAGCAAGAGCTATACTAATTAAAATAAAACAAAAACTCTTGCATCAAAGAACAAATATAAAATCTCTATATTGAAAATAATAATAATAAAATATACAAATTGTTGCCCCATATAAACAAAAATTGCTTTACTATGTACATATCTTAATCAATACAATAGTGACCTATCTTTCGGGTGGGTTTTTTTTTTGGATCATTGTAGCCGGGTCTTTCCACAGCATGGGGTTCAGATGCGGTTTAGAGCATTTCTGTCTCTCTGAGCTTGATATCTCTGTAAACTGTCCCTTCAATAAAGATTAACTTTATAGTGTTATATATGAACAATTAACTGGTACTTGGACAGACAGCACATTGTGTCATTTTCTCAAGAGCCAGAGAGGTATTCTTTCTGGTGGATGACTTAAACCGGTATATTCTGTAATGAAACAGTGATAAAGCATGTCTTTCCTCGGCACGATTTCACTAAAGAGGTCGTTGAAAATGGTCCACAATTGGCACAGCGCTAAAATGAAATGAAAAAAGCACTTCATCCTCCACTAATGACAGGATCACAGTGCTTTCAACGCGGCCCAGTATGCCGCTAACATTTCACATGGCGTCTGTTTATACTGATGGCTTACATCTTTTCAGCCTGTCCTTTTTCCAAAGAACGCTGCTAAATTATGGTGATTTATTATTAGGTGAAAAGGTCAACTTGAATAATTAGACAGGACATGTTTGACAAGCTGATTTGCAATTTCAGGCTTTTGTAACAAACCGTATTATCAACAAGAGAAACAATACTTGAACAGTTTTGCGGTCCTGTTCCGCCCTTGCTGATAAGAATGTCCTGAAAGCTTTAAAAACAGCGTGAGAGATGGATGACAAAGTAACAGCGAGGATTCACGTTAAGTGGTCTTTCACAATGACAGAAAATGTCAATGCAGCTTAGCGCAGAGCAAATTGAATTCACTTTCAGGGAAGTTTAATCCGGGTCGGCTGAAAATGTGAATTCTATTACTGTGGCTGCTCCGGAGAGACGGGAGAACTGGCAGAGCGGGCAAAGTCCATGGAGTGGACAAGAGTTCTGACAAAACAAGAGCAGCATTTCATTAGCCCGTGTGTAAGGACAGCAGATACATGCAAATCTAAGAGAAAGTGTTTAGCGCCATCTCACATTTAAAGTTTTTATCTGTTAAAATAAAATAAATGCAGTAGACGGGCCCTTGCATGTCGTATCTGTGGTTTGATGAGATAAAAGCTGCTTGATTTCTTTGATATAATGTAGTGCTGTAATTAACTTTCAACTCTATCAAGTCTATTTCAAATGTGTACATATATTCAACAAAAAGACAACAAGAAACAGAAATACAGTTTGAAAAAGGGGTAGGACCAGTGGGGGCGGGTCCCGGCTCAAAAGTGGCCAAAGTGACGTGCGCTGAGATGCTTGCAATAGCTCCCCGGGCTGATGGGGGTGGACCCAGAAGAAGAATTAGCCAATGCTAACATATAGCATCTTCTTACCTCTCGAAAAATCTTTACAGGATGGTCCAAAAGTTGGCTCTTGGCCCAAAGCTCCGTTCCACATGTGTGTCAATGCTGAGGGGAGTTAATTTTTTTGGACCACTCTAGTTTAGTTGCTGTGAATTTTTTAAGGCACTCGTTTAAATGAATGGAGCTTGCGCCGGCTGACGCATGCGCAGATGCGTTTTTTCACAATTTTCTTGTGGGCGGGACCACTCGCGGCCATTTTGGATAGCTCCAGTAGAGCACAATTCTTGGCCCTTAGTTTGAACGGCGGAAATAGGCGTGACTACGTCCGTTAATATTTACAGTCTATGAGTAAGACACACACAGAGACACACACACAATGGAAAATCAAAATAAATTTTTCATTTATTTTTCCAGTCATAGAAATATCTGAGTCATATAAGCTCTTCTCATCCTGTTTAAGTCTATGTAAGTCAATGAAGCTGGATAGGGAAGTGCTCATGGTCCAGCTCGCTATGGCTCGGGGTGTACCCGGAAAGAGAATGCTTTGGTATGGCGCCTTCGTAACTCTCAAAAACCTCTTTACAGGATGGTCCAAAAGTCGCTCTTGGCCCAACGCTACGTTCCTGATGCTGTCAATACTGAGGGGAGTATATTTTTTTGGACCAGTCTAGTTTAGCTGCTGTGGACTTTTGAAAGCACTCATTAAATCAATGGGGCTAGTGCTGGCTAACACATGCACAAATGCGTTTTTTCACAAATTCCTGCCCCGCGGCCATTTTGAAGAAGCCCAAAAGGCAAAAGTGGTGGCACATTGGTTTCAACTACGTCCGTTTAATATTTAGTCTATGTTTGAAACTGGCTTCTTCTGCTTTCGGCAAACACTACGGCTAACGGCAACGCTCAGAGTCCACTCCTAATGTAGGGTCTATGATTCAGTTTATTTGCCATTTGCAGTAAAAAAACCACATTGGAATACATTAGCAATAATGTATTCCAATGTAATGTATAATGGATTCTATGATTGAATCAAACCAAAAAGCGATAAGTAACTGTTCAAAGCAAAGTCACAATCTTAAGTGTACTTTTTTGCCCACTTTTATTCTAATATCTATTGGATTGATCAGTTTTGTATTTGAGCGAAGCGTTGAAATTGTCGATGAAAAGGCTTCTTGAATAGATATGCTGATTACAAAGACCTTTATCCATACACTGTTCTCTATTAGCCTCCACAGCAGGAGGTGGGCTTGTCTAAAGTTTTCTTGAACAATGTACTTGGCTCATGTGTGATGAATTGTTCACTGGAAACTTTCCTAATCGCAATCTGGTGTCGGAAAGTCCTGGAGGAGCGGCACGTTAAATGCTAATCACCGGCGCTGTACATAATGAAGAACAGATGTCTTATACATTATCAAAAGCGGCAAAAGCGGCAAAAGCGGAGGAGTGCCGGATAACAGACTACACACAATAACTGTTGTAGCTCACATCTCAATGTCCCCAAAGAAGTTGTGTAATTGGAAAAGAGAATGAAGAATGATGTTGATGTATACAACTCATACTGTACCGCATAATTCAGGGAAAAATAGGAGGTAAAGCAGCAAAGTGAAGGCTCTGTGTTATCGGAAAATGCATTTGACCCGTCCATAAATGTCACTATGGGCAATCTGTTTGGAGCCGTGGTCGCTGCATTGTTTTTAGTGGTAGGAAAATCAGGAGACCTATGAGGAGAACATACAAACTCCACTCTGAATGTTCAAAGTTCAAAGTGGTCTTAATTGTCCCACCATAGAAAATTGGTTTTGCAGCAAACAATCATCTAAAAACCAACACTGTAGACACAGTAAAATCACAACATTGAAGATAACAAGAACAAGAGAGGAAATCACAAAGCTAGTCTTAGTGCAAAGTTAAAAGGTGCACTTTATTGATCCCTGTAAGGAAATTCAATCCTCTGCATTTGACCCATCCTGATGCCGCGAAGGCATATACGTCTGGAGCAGTGGTCGCCGTAGTACAGTGCCCGGGAACCCATCTCCAGATGTTGATCCTTGGCTTGGTCAGGACTACTGGAGCTGGAGGATTTAACCTAGTGTGTATGTTTTTAGTGGTAGGGGAACACAGGCACAGGGAGAACATGCAAACTCCACTCATGAGAAAGCCCCTGTTCCAACCGGGATTCGAACCCAGGACCTTCTTGCTCAGAGGCGAGAGTGCAATCTACTCAGCCACCATGCTGTTAAGTGCAATCGTATATATATAAAGTGCTCTGTGTTCTTAAGGTGCTTCACAGCTGTTGGGATGAATGTAGTTCCCGACCTTTTTGTCCTGCACCCAAGAGCTCTATAGTGTCGTCTAGAGGGTAAAAGTTCAAACT